AGGAAGGAGGAGAAGAAGAAGGGAGAAGAAGAAGGAAGAGGAGGAGGAGGAGGAGAGAGCTTGTCGACCTGGAGAGGACGAGGAGGACGAGTGCCAAAGATGGACGGAGAGGGAGGGAGAGAGAGAGAGAGAGAGAGAAGAGGCTCTCGGTCCCCAGACGGGATCGAGTCTGAAGGAGTCTCACAACCGCACAAGCTCACAGACAGTTCCGGCCCATGGCGTCTGTCGCGTATAGATGAGCTGAGCCTACCGGACAGCGGGACGGCCTGGAGCCACACAGCCACACAGATGGACGGTGACGTACGGAGTACATGTGCGATGTGCGGATGCCGTCGCTGACTCCTTCCCTGCTGCTTCCTGTCGGCGGTCGAAGCACACGGGGCCACGGGCAGCCGCCAACCGGCGGTAGTTGAGAAGACTCAGAAGCCTGGTCTGAGCGGTGGGGCTTCCCTGCGTGCAGAGCAGCCAGGCCAGTACGCGCCGTGGTGGTATCATCCTCCTCTTCACATCATTCATCATTCTGACAGGTAACGCATACGCCTACTCGTCAGGACGGGCGGATGCCCCCCCCCCCGACCAAGGTCCGGCATTCACGCCTACAGCGCTGCCGTACCCTGCGCTCGCACAACGCCAGGCACGTGGGAGACGAGAAGTCGGCGGGCGGTCAGCGTGAAGAAGTAGAGGTGATTTTAACTCTGTACGAGTACTCTGTAGACTTGTTGTTGTTGTTGTTGTTGTTGCTTCTGTACGCAGACTACCCGATCGGGATGACAGGGATGTTCGGAGCTAGTCGACACCCGAAACGGACGGGGGTCTCGTCGGGGGATGAAAGGGGATGATGCACCGGGTCCCATGCCGCGATCCTTGTTGGTCTTTCAGAGACATGGGTTATGCTGTGAGGGTCTATCTGTCGCTGTTATTTTGGTTTGTTTTTTTTTCTCTCCTTTTATTCTTCGCGTTGCCTTGTCACTGCTGCTGCTGCTGCTGCTCCTTTTTTCTTCTTCTTCTTTTTTTCTTTCTCTTCTTTTCATACTGTCCCTCTCTCTCGTTTTCCTCTCGCTACACTCCTGTCTTCACTGATATCCCCCTCACTCCGTCTCCGTCTCCATCTCGTCCCCTCTCACCTGCCGCCCCTGGTTGCTGACCCTTGCCAGAAGCTACGAGTGCTGTGAGGGAGAAGAGGGGACAGGAGGGGGGGTGGTGAGCCGGGGGGAGAAAGAAGTCGGGTAAATCCCTCTGCACCGTAACCACAATAAGCATGTCTGGCCAGGGAGGCCCCCGGTATGATTCTTGTGACAATGGCGCCAACGCAGAAGGAAGACGGAGAGCTGGGACCGATATTACGACCTACAGGCAGACTTAGTATTATTACTCCGCAAGAGGTGAGGATGCGTGGGAGGAGACGCCGTTGAGCCATGCTAGTCCAAGACTGTCCAAGGCTAGGAGGTCTCTCTTGTTTTCTCTTGTTCTTTTTATTTTTTTAAAAAAATAAAAATAAGGAGTTTTTTTTCTTTTTCTTTTCATGATCCATATATGCATTCCTCGGCTGCGGCGTCGGTGACGCGGGTATCAGCGTGTAGCAGATGCCTGAAGCTGGCGAATGAAGCCTTCCCCCCCACCCCCTCCCCTTTCACAAAGGTTCGATCGTGCATCTTGCTGTCCACGGGCCATGACAGGCCTTGTCGATGCGGTAATAAAAACTGGTCCGATCGGGGGGTTTTTTTTTTTTTTTTGGGGGGGTTTTGAAGATTTGAACAGATTGAAAAAAGAGCAAACATTTTAGAGAATACGCCACGTACATGCCATGGCAAATCTCNGTGTGCGTCCGATGTAGGTCGTGACTCGCCATTGTGTATATTGGGGGGGGGGGGGGGGGGGGCGGGTCGGTTTTTTGGGGGGGGGGGGGGGGGGGAGGGGGGAGACCTCTGGGCGGTTGGTTGGTTGGCTCGCTCATCAAGAGGGGGACAAGGTTGTCAGGATGGGATGGGATGGGATGGGACGGGACGGGAAGGAGATTGAGATGGGACGATTACCGTTGCTGTCCATCTTCGCCCGTCGGCGGCGCCGCTGCGGAACGTCAGATCGTCTCGTGGCAGCCGTGTGGTCCTTGGACATTGGTGGCCCCGGCAATGCCGCAATGGGGAGCTCTTCTCGGCTCATGGTTGGTGGCATGTTGGCTCGTGATCGGCAAGCTAACCCAGGGGTGAAGGAGGGGGGGGGGAGCAGACGATTGTCATGACTCGACACCAACAAGGCGCATGGCGATGGTGAAGCCCTTGCTCTTGGCTTCCTGTCATGGCGTTTCCAAGGTAGCACGCAGGGTATGAGGGCATGAGGAGGTGAGAGAGTACGAGTACGTCGTGGAGACGCGCGCTTTTCCCCATCTATCGCCCGCAGCTTCTCCCAGACAGGAGCTGGCCTCTGTGGCGCTCGATGTTGTGACGTATAGCGTCGTACATAGCGTATGGCGTCGCTGCGTAGTGCAGCATTCTCCTGCGGTGCAGAGTTTCTCTCAGAAATACTCGTAATATTATCAATGATTATATAGACATATGGAAGGAGCTGTGCACACGAGGCAGGTGCGAGCCAATGTATGCGGAAGGCGCGTGCGTAGTGCGGGAAGGTCCAGAGGAGGACCGGGGGGGGAGGAGGGTTGGGTTCCCGTCTGTGGGGGAATAGCCTGCCTATAGGTGTAGGTGTCGTCGTCGTGCTTCCTCGTCAAATATGACGTTCATCATCTGTGCCACCCCATATCTGTATCGCCGCAATGATAGCATTCTGATCAATACTCGGCACCTGCTGCTGATGCTACCAGCACGTACGGAGTACGTACAGATATGCTTGTTCTTGATGGTGATCTGACAATACGAACTCTGCGTAGCGGTACATGTGTTTGCGGGATATCAATACAGATGGCAGGCACTCGTGACCTCACAACGCGTGGATGCTACCCTGCGAGTGCCAGGTACCGGTACTCTGCCCGCACGCACTCGACAGTGCCCGCACGGGGTAGCCGGGACAGGGCGATGGACTGCCAACATGTGGTGTCATCAGCGGTACGGAGCACAGAGCAGCACTACGCTGCATATCTTTATGCGCATCATCGCATCTAGCTGATGTTATGTCTCTATCGAGAGGCTGATCGTGTCGGCTGCACCATCTTCAATACTGTCGGTACGAGCACTGTCACTGCCACTCGTGTTTGAGATGCAGACTAGCGAGATATCGTACCTCGTACCTGTACTTTGCACTTTGGGGGGTGCGGTGGCGATAGGTGGTGGTGGTGTCCGAACACATGCGACAGCAATCCGCGAATATCCATACGGACTCGGTATAGCAACACGAGTTGCATCAGCATATGACCTGGCAAACCTGTAGATGCTGTCGCTGTCGATACGACATATCAGCATAGCAAATGCTACAGATACCTGTGCTCCGTGTCAGGACCGCTCCGTATCGGGACGACAGTTTGATGAGTACCGGTTCTATGCTGTGGCGACGAGTATGTGTACGTGCACTGCGATGCTGCTACGGGTAATCTGTAGAGATCATATCGCCGCCGCCTGAGTAGTGACAGTACCGGGTACCCACCCGTACAGGCCAGCAGTAGTCATGGGACGGAGACGAGAGGCTAGCGCTACTCGTACCTGTCCTGTACGTGTGCTCGTATAGGGAGGCCACAGGGCACGCACACGTGTACTCCGACGTACCTCTCCCTCCTGCCCTCCCGAACCTCAAACGAGCAAAACATCCACCCTCGACGTCTATATTGCTGCATCCTCGACGCTCCCCTTTCATCTCCCAAAACGCTGCCCGCATGCGCGCACGCACGAATCCACGGATCAAGGTCGATCAATGTGCGCGGCAGAGGATGCATCCCCGGTGTGAGCCTCGACACGGCTGCCGTCGGCCATGAGCAATACTATACTACCCAAGATATCCTGGGTGCTCCGGCCTCCAGCTGCGTCGTGACCCCGCACACGCATGTCGTCGTTTCCGGGGGTCACCCTGCCCGGCCTCCTCTCCCTCACTCTCTGCCTCCCTCGGGCCTTGACCGGCTTGCTTCTGACGCTCCAGGCTCCAGCATCGTGGGCAGCTTTGCTCTCGGCGGCTAGCTTCATCTCATCCGGAAGCACATCGATTGCTTTCTCTTCTTCTTTTTTTTTTCGGCTTCATCTCGTCTCTTCGTCCCTCCTTGCCGTGACTGCGTCGCCATCGATCCCAGCCGTGTCGGTGCGCATCGGAGCAGGGGCTTGCGAGGGGGATCCTCTCCCTCCTGCTGTTCTCTCCCGTCTATCTGACTGACTGACTGACTGACTGACTGACTGACTGACTGTGCGCACAGGCAACGTCTGATCTGAGCGCTTTACGTCGTATGCGCGGCGATGATTGCATCCCCGTATGACGATCCTCGACACAGCCCAGTAATACCGAATAGCATCATCCACGAGTATGATCTGTAGAGTATACGGAGCATATTGTATATATATATATATATATGTGTGTGTGTGTGTGTGTGTGTGTGTGTGTACGATCAGTGCAGGAGAGAGATACGTACAGAGGGGCTCGTATCAACACTATCCCGCTCTAGTATCCAGCCACCGCCACTACACCACAAGGCAGACGATTCTCTGCTGCTGCAGAACTCTCATCCTATCCTACCCTATCCTATCCTTTCTTTCCTCTCGGTCGTTGGAAAGGCCTGGCCGGCCAGCCACTATCCGGTGCGCGCGTCTCTGGAGACCGGTGCTGACTGACTCGGCTCCCTCATCTGGCCCAGAGACTGCACATGTACCGGGGTATTACTGCGGGAGTAATATGACGGATGCTACTCCCGTGCCCCGTACGCGGTACTTCCACGGGCCTTGCTTGAGGTCCTGGCGCCCTGGGGCCGTCCCACGCTCGACTAAGCTGTATGACGGTGTGCAGCCATGAGAAGTTACGTGTACGGGTACAAAGCGTTCCAAGGAAAAGGAGGACGGGTACGTACCCCCTACCCCCTACCCCCCTACCCCCCCCCCAATACCCTCGTACCCTCGTACCCTCGTACCCTCGTACCCTCGGTCCCCGTCGACCTGTGCTACCCAGAGAGCACGTAGTAGCCCAGCTAGCCTGGCACCCCTGTCCCTGCCTGAAACGCCTCGAGGCAAGCCCGCCGCTATGGGGGCTCTCACTCCGGGAGAGGCTAGTTCTCGACGTCGGGCGCGTCAAGGTCCGGGACCTGTGCGTCTAAATCTGTGCGGAGCCATGTACGGCTGCGGGCTGTGGCCTGTGGCCTGTGGTCTGTCTGTAATCTCTACTCCGTACCCGGCGGCGAGCTGCACGAGAAACATCACGACGACGACGACGACGACGTGCTTTCCCATGGCAGTCGCGGACCTGATGAGCGAGGGAGAGAGGATGCGTACGGCCCGACGCTCTGACCAGAACATGCGTCCCATCCCGCTCACCCGCTCGCTCGCTCACACACGCTCTCTCTACGGGTATACCTTGCCAACCTGCGTCAGCGCCGTATCTATCGTGGCCGGTGAGCGTGTGCGTCCGATGTAGGTCGTGACTCGCCATTGTGTATATTGGGGGGGGGGGGGGG